AAGGCAGAGATTCAAAGCAAGATCTCAAACCAAAGCCTGTGCTTTTAACTTACAGTAAATAATGCCTTCAAAGTGTCTTTCCCTGGGCCTCCCACCTCCCAGTCTGATTTAAATGCTTTTCTTCAGTGTTCCCATAATACCCTAAGCATGCTCCAGCTGTAATTTTTGGTTACAGATCTATCTCTCTACACTGAAACCTTGTGAGGATAGGAATCATGTGTCATTCACCTTTGTATCCCTAGTGTGCTATCTATCTAGGCAAATATGCAAACTAATTTGTCCAGCAGTTTAATATAAAAATCACCAAAATGAAGGCCTTGAACTTGCCTTACAAAGGTCACATCTTAAGCCCATCAACAAACATCTCATCTAAAAAATGGGATGAAATGTACATATACAAGGTGACTTAGGTCTTTTCTATGAAATTTAAAAAGCGGTATCATTACAGAGGGGCCCTCATTTTTTATAGCCCATCTTATTAGTTTGAATTATTAGAAATAAAATTAAAGTCCTCATTTATCTTCTCACACAACATATATAAATAATAGGGAGTTCAGAAAAATCTTCCTCTTTTCTGAAAGGAGACAACTATCATCTATACCAAAATCAAACAGTGGCACCCTCCTCTGGTGAATGTTAAAGGAGCTAAACAACACAAAAGATGACAATTAGATGGGACTTTCCTTGAATGAAAAAAAAGCAAGAGAGAAATCACCTAATATTATTTGTTATTATCACATTCCAACAATTAAATAACTACCTTTTATATCACTTTTCTTATTTTGCCCTAAAAAGAAGTCAAAATGAATGAACTGGCTACATACTATAAGAGGTTATAGATAGAATGATTACCCTATTTTTAAGGAGAGTACCTATACATGTAAAATACTTCTATTTAAATAAAAACATTTATCATGTCCCTTTTCTGGATGATACGTTTACCGGAAGATAGTACTGGAAATTTTTCAACCTGAAATCTGTTTAGGTCTGTGATTTTCAGATTTTAGAATATCAACTTAACAGAAAATTTTAAATACTCATTCACTTGCACGTGCAGGATCAAAACATGCCAATACAGCACACTCAGGCAAGCACAACCCAAAGTTTCACAACACTAATATTACATCCAGAACTTTAAATTAAAAATAAAACTGTGCTTTCTAAGACCAGAAGCAGATTATCAGCTGCCAATTTTAATTTAAAAATATATAATAAATATAAGCTTTATTGAATGATTTATAATGGTCTAGGCATACACAATAAAAACATAGGCATTCTGATTAAACCAAGAAAACAATTCAGTCATTATATTGGCAACATTATCATTCAGGTATGTGTCTTTCCAGGCACACAGCACCTGTTCCCTCAATTAATTTCATATTTTTCACCTATTATGTGACCAAGGGGAAAAGAACCCCACACTACACGAGAAGCTACAAAATTACAACCAGTAAGAATCCTTCATTTTGAAAGACAGAACATAGGGCTAGGGTGGATGGAAAATAGCAAAATCTGATCTCAGTTCTACCAAAGAAATTTTCCCACTAAGTTTGTCTTTCCTGGCAAAGTTGGTTTAAGGTAGATGGGTACACTATCTCGGAAAGATTAACAGAGTGTGGTGGGTGAAATGACTTTGTATCAAAGACAGAATGCAAATTAGATAACCAATTGAGCAAAACAAAGGCCAAAACACAAGCAATTCCTGAAACAGAATGACATCCAGACTTCCCCTACAGCTCACCAGAGACCAGAAGGACCAAGAAGAGAGTTGGAGGGAAAGTTGGATGCCAGCACAGAGCACGGGAGGTGGGGTGGGGTGTTAATGAAATAAGGGTGGCGATGGGGACTGGGGGAATATGAGTAAGAAAGTATGCTGCAAAAAAATTAAAAACTACAGCACTGAAACTCTCACAAACTGCCAATTGAGAGAGATGGTGTGGCTGGCCTGGTGCGCTTGAGAGAACGGCGCTGGAGCCACATTTGCCACTCACTTCCCCTGAGCAGATGCCCGAGGACCAGAGCCAACCCTCGCCCGACCGACCTCCAGGAAATATGAGCCCCGGCGCGCAATCAAGGTGCCGCAGAAATGCGGCAGAGGGACCTGAACCGGCCTCCAACATAATCTCTTGCTCCCAGATGAACACCAAATAAAGGAGTTTAGAAGGAGGGAGACGTCTGCGCGCCCACGCTGACCAGGACTCAGGGGCGAGATCTGGGCACCCGCCGCCTCTGCAGGCATTGCCACCTCTGCAAAGGCCAGAGGCATCTCGGTCCCGCGCCACGATCCAGCTAAAAGCAGACGACCAGCGAGGCGCTGCTGTCAACTGGCCCGATTGCACTTGCAAAGTTAATGGAGTTGGGAAGAAGCGCAGAGGTGCCCCTCGGGTTCCTCCTCTAGGAGAATGCAATGGGAAGGAGTCCTTCATCTTCAATGAGCCCTCACTGACTCGGCTCTGCAGATTTGGTCTCTTTTCCCTAAGAGAATCAAAGATATTTTCTTCCTTCTTTATGCCCAAGCTTGGCCTCAAACCCTAGAACAGGGGCGCTGAGGCCCTGGGCCAAAGTTCCCTGTAGAAACCATAAACTCTCCCCCCCCCCCCCAAAACTAGCACAGTCATTTGCTGGGTTCTGATCCTGGGAAACCTCATAAATTATGAGGCACAAAATAGGTTATGGGTGACCCTCCGTCCCCCAAATTGGCCACTGAATCCCAAGAGGTCTGGAGCCAGCACTATTTTTTAGCAACTTGAGCCACATTTGGATCTAATGTCTTTGTCCAGCCCGGCACCAGGTCATCACCACGCCCCTCGCACCCAGTTCTTACCCTGCTACGTACACATCCTGTTTACACACACCCACTCAAACAAAACCCCAGAGAACTCCTACCTCGCCCCCATGTCCGTCAAAGATCCCGAAGATGGACGGGTGCGTCTTGTTGGCTAGGTCCGTAAGAACTTCGAATCGGTCCTCCATGTGGTCTCTCCGGCCCTGGATGGAATACACGGCCACGTTGTGGCTCTTAAACTCCCAGGTCTTGGAAAACTCGGCCTCCAGCACGTCGAGCCCCCCGAGCCGATCATTCTGCATGATCTCCGCCACCTTGCCCTTCACCATCTTCACCGCGTCCCGGCTGGACTTGACGATGGTCTTCACCTCGTCCGTGTGGAAGAAGTAACTCCACAGTGCCAAGCTGATGCACAGCAGGAAGAGCGTCTCGGGTCTCAGCAAGAAGTAGCGCATGATGCGACCCAGCAGAGACAGCAAAGTCATTGTATCCTCTATCATTTATTATCGCTACAGCCCCAACCACCAGCAGCGACGCGCGCCCCGAAGGCTCGCCGGGTCCCGGAGCACTGCGGGGACAGCCCGCGGGGAGGGAGGCGGAGCAGCAGCCGGAGGTGGGGGGAGGAGGCTCGCGGAGCAGGGCAGGAGGCGGACGAGCTGGCTGCTCCCAGCCCGCAGGGCGAACAGAGGCAGTTTCCCTTTTGTCTCCCGGCCTCGGCGGCACGGAGGCCCGCGCCTTGCGCACCGGCGCCTGTGCCCGCGGACCGCGCCGCCTCCCTTCCCGCGCCCCTTTGTGAGGCGGCGGCCGAGACGGCAGCGGTGGCAGCAAAGCAGCAGCAGCGGGTGCCCGGGCTGGGCTAGAGGAATCAAGTTAAAGTTGCGCCGGGCGAGTCCACCGCGGTGGGCGGGAGAATTCGGGGGCGCTGGCGCCCGCGCGGCCTCTCCGCGGGTGCCCCCTCGCCGCTCTGAGGAGCGGATCAGCAGCAGGTGAGGCGCGGGGCACGAGAGCCCAGCGGGCAAGGGATGCACGTCCCCTCAGTCGCCACCACAGGGGAGCGTAGAGCCGGCCGAGCGCTCCGATTCCTTCAGACACCCCGGGGAGCCCCAGAGAATAAAAGTTTTGCGGAAGCCTGGGCAGAGGCGGGGGTACGCTGAGCCGGGCGACGCAGCACAATCCGCGCTGAGCCGCAGGCGGCCGGCGGGCTCTGCCTGCCTCTCCCCAGAACCTCCCTTCTCCGCTCGGCACCACTCGGCTCCGCTCGCGCGCTCCCTCCTCTGGCCCCGACTCGCGCTCGCACCGCCCCTCGCGCTCTCGCCCCGCCCCGTCCCGCCCCTGGAGCTGGGACTCCAGGCCCGTGGTGCTCGCGCGGAGCTGTCAAAAGCTGAGGAAGCTCCGCCGCGACTGGCGCGCTTGCAGCTCCAGGCGGTTCAGGCGAACCGAGGGGGAGAAGAGGGGCGCGTCCACTGCCCAACTCGAGTAGCTGTTCTTTCCGCCCTCCTGTACGGGCTCCCAGGACAAAATAATACTGATTCGGGTAGTCTGAACGTTGGTTTTCTCGGGAGCTACTGTCACCGGCTGGAAAGCAGAGTGCCGCACGTGAGCGTTCCCCCCTCCGGCAGGCAGCACGGTAGTGTGGTCCCCGCCTCGCCAGGCATAAGGCAAGCGAGAAGGGACGCACTTCTCCAGGCTCGCAAAGCGGGGCGGAGAGGATCCGACTATTGGGTTCTGTGACAGAGGCCTGCCCGGATCTCACGACAGGCAGAGAGCGAGCCTGAGGCCTACAAGCCTCCTCATGATGGGAAAAGACCCTCCCGAGAACAGCGGGATGTGAGGACTCGGAGACACATGGAAGTGCGCTCTGAGAGTAACCTCGGGCGGGGCGAGGATGGGCTGGCGTCCCTGAGGACTGCGGCCGCCCCTGGAGCAGAGGACGTAACCGCGAAGGCCTTCCGTGGTCGCAACCCTTCCACTGAGAGACACGAAGCCTACTAGGAGCCCCGGGGCGCTCCTGACCCCGCCACGGGGCGAGGGCTGTGACTCGGCTGTTGGGAGTTTCAGGATCCCTTTGAAGCTCCAAACTTGAGACTTCCTGCCACCTCCTCAACTATCGCGGGAGAAAGTGAAGTTAGGGCGGGAGTCTTTCGATGAGCAGAAGTGAAGGGTCGAACGGGCTTCCAGAAGCCGTCAAGGATAACTTTTTGAAATATGGGCAAGTGTCGATAGCTTTGAAGATTTGGGGGGAGGGGGGGAATCTATGTACAAATACAGCTTAAAACACAGAAAGAAGTGAGCTTTAAAGGAAAATATTCACTCTCACTACCCCTGTCCAGGAAGAAAAGTGCTGATCTGCAGCTTCCAATCCGCTAAACTGGAGAGTAGAGGCTGCCTGATCCAAGCCCAGCCAGTGTTGGTCTCCCCAAGCATTCCTACCTTGGTATGATCTCAACTACGGTTTTTAAAAAACAAAAAAATAAAAAGGAAAAAAATACTGAGAGGAAATACACCAAATTTTTCATTGTGGTTAACTACAGTAGTAGGTTATATGTGATTTTCATGTTCTGCTTTGGACTTTTGTCTGCTTTCTACAACTTTTCCAAAATATTTACAAAAGTATAGATTGCCATCATAACCAGAAAAAAAAAACTTTGACATTTAAATGGCATATACAATATATTCTCAATTATATAAACATGCATAGAAAAGGAAGGAAATATGAAGAACTCTTAACTATGTTATTCTTGACAACTAAGATATGGTCCCCTGTTCTGCTTTGAGCTTTTTTGATATATTCCACCTGATAAACAATTTTGAAATAAATTAAGTCACTGTGTTCAAAAGTCATAAGTTATGAGGTTCCAAAATGAGATCATGAATTCAAAAGTCTTTAGGAACTATAAAGCAAAAGTAGTACATTAGCGTTGTCATGAAGACATGAGTTTACAATATTTCTTACTGTAAATTAGCAAATGAGTTTTGGCTGTATTATCAGTTTCTCAGCACATGAATCTTTCTCTAATAGCAAAGGCAACTTCCAGATAAGCTGATCAAGATTCTGGAACTACAAGTCGAACTAGTCCCTGGAGCAGAAGTAAAATTCCAAACCTACGGTCCCATCCAGCCTGTCCACAAAATTACTATATTGATGATAGCAGCAGATACTCATGAGAGGTATGACTTATGTTTCCTCCATACCTAAATAAAAAAGAGAAAGGACCATTCTGGTTTCTCTGGAGATTAAATAGCAAAAGGAGGGCTTTATTTGATTAATAAATCTAGATATCCTGTGGATTTTGTAGTGATATGCTTTGACATTTATATCTAAGTAGTTCATTTTTGCGAAAAATCAATAAAATGGTTTTTCAAGCAGACCCTATAGGCATTTTCTTTTTTCTATTAAGCAATCCATATTGTTTACATAATAACTTTTAAAGGCCTAAAAAGGCATTTTGTTATAGTTGACTATGAATTTTAATATATTTGAGAAAAAGGCTTTCCTCTAGTGACTAACTTTTACATATTCTTTGAAACTATAAAGATTTTTCACATATACCAATTTATTCCATTCTCATAATAATCCTATGAGGCAGATAAAGGAGCTATTATATCTGTTTATAAATAGAAGGCAAATGAGGTACAAAGATGTTAAGGAATACCACAATTCATTGTAGGAAGTTGGAAAATCAAACTCAGTTCTTCTGACCACCAATTCAATACTCTAACATCCATTGATTGTCCAGTGATACTGCAATGATTAGTCTAATTTTTATGCTTCTCTAGTAACATTTCAGTGGTTCTTTGTTTAGAGAGATCTCAAAAAGAATACACAGGTTCTTATTCCGTGATTCTGACTTTAGCCTTTGATTTCAGCCTTGTCAGCACTGCACTGTAAGTATTCACCTCATTCACTAAATACGTGCTGGGCAGAGTACAAGTAAACTGTCCTTAATTTCTATGTAAAACCCTGAAAGATTTATTGCTAAGGTAAAATATCTGAAGAAAAGAGTACCATAGAATATGTCTTATGAAAATAATTTGCCATTACGCTTTACCATTTACCAAAATCCCTATATGCTTTTTTTTAGTTTTGCTTGGTTTTAAGCCTTTTATAAAAAGAGTTATCTTACTGTGTGTGATCCTCTGGTCATTTAATCTCTAAATGATTAACCATGATCATGAACTATTAACCCATATTTAATGTTCAGTGCTTCTTATAAAACTTTCTTAGATGCAAAATTTAATCTTCAGTTTTAAATGCACTTTAAGAAGAAATGAATCTGTTTTAGTAGTATAGCTAGGAAAAAAAATTCATCCTTTTAAGTAAGCACAATATATCAATCTGGACTTGTAATTTTAATATCTCAATTGTTATGTCAAATGGAGAACTAATCTGACAGATACCAATCATGTTAGGGTGTAATACAATTTTATTTCACTGGACTCCAAAAACACAAGGTCCTTTTCTATAACCCAAGTTTTTATATTCATTACAGAGATATATGAAGGATACTTATTTTCTGGGGCACCTGAGTAGCTCAGTTGTTGAGTGTCTGACTTCAGTTCAGGTCATAGTCCCACAGTTCGTGTGTTCAAGCCCCGCATGGGCTCTGTGCTAATAGCTCAGAGCCTGGAGCCGGCTTTGGATTCTGTGTCTCCCTCTCTCTCTCTCTGCCCCTCCCCTAGTCATGCTCTGTGTCTCTCTCTCAAAAATAAATAAACACTGAAAAAATTTTTTTTTAATTTTTTTTTCAACGTTTATTTATTTTTGGGACAGAGAGACAGAGCATGAACGGGCGAGGGGCAGAGAGAGAGGGAGACACGGAATCGGAAACAGGCTCCAGGCTCTGAGCCATCAGCCCAGAGCCCGACGCGGGGCTCGAACTCACGGACCGTGAGATCGTGACCTGGTTGAAGTCGGACGCTTAACCGACTGCGCCACCCAGGCGCCCCTACACTGAAAAATTTTTAAAAAAAGATACCAGTTTTCTGAATAAGATGTTTCTATCATTACACCAAGTCTGTGCACATAAACCATACTACTCCTAAGAATCCTTCATCTAATTGTCCTAGGCTTCTCTACAATAATCTTCAAACAAGCTTCCTAAATTATAAAGTTAATCTGAAGCATTACCTAAAATTGTTATCCTAATTAACCCACATCAACATTCTAGCTAATTTATAATATGAAACATTATGAATAGTTGGATAATCTTGCCTAAAACCCCTAAATAACTTATCAGCACTCTTAGAATAAAGGCACAAGTCAGGGTGCCTGGGTGGCTCAATCAGTTTGGCATCCAACTCTTAGTTTTGGCTTGAGTCATGATCTCCTATTTCATGAAATGGAGCCACACATCAGGCTCTGTGTTGACAGCTCAGAATCTGCTTGGGATTCCCTCTCGTTCCAACCCTCTCCTGCTTGCTTTCTCTGTCTGTCTATCTCTCTAAAAGAAGGAAAGCGAAGGGAAGGGAAGGGAAGGGAAGGGAAGGGAAGGGAAGGGAAGGGAAGGGAAGGGAAGGGAAGG